AGTATGGGCCGAACAGGAGTCCCTCCACTGCACTGAATGACCTTTAAATAAGAAATTTCATCCTTCTCCCTGGCTGCATCTCATTTTTGTATGAAACTACTTAGAGAGGAACAAGAGAATGAGAGAACCTTAAATATAAAAATGGTTTGTAAATGACAGCCTATCTTTTGTCATGTAACAATTTCTCAGTCATAATAACAGTACACATCTTTTTCTTTTCCACCAGAATAACTGCATTTGCCTTGCCATTAATAATTCACTACATAATCACTGTGGATTTGAAGAGAGGATGAACCCTACCAAGAAAAGAACCTGACATCTACCATCATGTACGTTCTTCTCACCAGTAGACCTCATAACTGGCATTTTGTGCTACATTGCTCTATACACAAAGAAGGAGAAAAACTTGAAGAATCAAGAAAGTAATTTTCACACACTTCCTATATGATTAACATGTACTGTGGCTGGTTGTTTCTGCTAGAGCTTGAGCAACCTCCGTACCTCTGAGAACCTACAAATCTCTAACAACAAACTCTGTTGCAGATGATCAGATGAGTAGTGCTCAGATAGAGACTAAATCTGGAAGCAAGGCAGATGCATATACTTCTATACCTTTTTTTAACTTTAACCTTCTTCTTCCTGATCTACTGATGATCATTTTGTTTTGTACAATTAACTGGTGAGAAAACTAACATAAAGTGATTTCTCATAGGGACTCTCTCCCTGTCCCCGCGCACTGCTCATTCTGTCACACTGATTTTCTATCTGAAATTCATTGTGTCTGAAATTCACCATTTCAGTACAATGCTGAAGTTCAGTAGGAAACCATTGTAACACATCTAGAATGGTGTTTCTTGCACACAATGACCCTATCTATACATACACTGCCTGACTTGGGATAAGAACAGACATCTCTTCCACAGTTCCTGTATCCATTTTGCTAGTCCTGAAAGGTCAAGGTATTGGTCTTGGCTTATATATCGAAATGCTGAGAATTTCATTATATGGTCTATCGTGAGCTCATGATTTTGCCATGGTGAACTTGGTAGCAAAAGAGCACCAATGACATACTCTTCAATTTTCACTTTAGCAGAAACACTGCAGCAGACTTTGCTTTGTGCGGCATGATCGATTCAAGGGATTTGCGTGCAGGGTTCGGTAGGTCAAATTCAATTGCTGAAATTCCAGAGTGCTGAGATGCCCGAAAAACTGCAAACCACATTTGAACGGTATTAATGTACTCACCCTGAACATCAGGCAATCAAAAATGTATGACTACTGGAAACACATTTTGAAATTACTATTTCTATAAGGGAAACAGTGAAAAGGCGAAGAGGAGTTATAAACCAAACATTTGATACAAATGGTACTAAGCCAAATTCAGTTCTAGGTGAAATCCATTGTGTTACCAAAAAGGTTGTTTGTATGATATTTTAAATCAAAATTAGGAGGCAAAAACAACATACAGAATAACACAGACTGTCCTGCAATATCTGCAACTCTCTGACACAGACTGTCATATATGAAAGTTCAGTCCTAAGCAAAAACTGCTATCACCTGCCTCAGACATCATTTAGCTTTACTTACTCTAAGAGTAGACCCACATTATCTCAAAAATCTAGATTATCTGGAAGATCCCTTCCTAACTAAACCATGGAAACCTCACAGCCACAGGGAAGGCACCATCCAGAATGCAGCAGAACCAGAATGACTGAGCTTTCCCAGCATATCATATACCTAGATATGGGATAGGAACTTCTTGGATGATGATCAAGGTGAAGGAGATCAGCAGCTTAAAAGAGAAAGTAGATATCTGTGAAGAAGTAGAGGAAGGACTATAGGGAGGAACTGAGACTCCCATAACCCAAGGAAATGGGCAAGGGAGATGAAGAGTGGGTTTGAGAAAGGAGGGGACAAAAGAAGAGATCCCCACCCATATTCCTGTGAACCATCACAAGTACCTTTAATCTCACTGATTCTTTTGTTTCACCAGTAGCTGCCTACACTACCCAGCACTTTGCCTCCAAATCTGTCACTGCCTCTTGCACTGAGAATCTTCTTTGGCACCACAGGGACGCTAATTCTACCCATGGTAATGAGAAGCCTAGAAGAAGCTCTACTTGTAGGGAAAACTCCTTAAATTCCAAGGGCAGGCAGTTGTAGTTTTAAAACCCTGAGGAAATTTCAGGGGACTTTTTGTAACATTAGCTGCCAGCTTTCATAGAAACTGCTGAGATCTTCCAGTTTGGACACTCACAAGTCTGCGGTGTTTGGACCCACATGCAGCTGTTCCCAGAGGAATTTAAGCCTTAAGAGTCTCAGAAGCATCCAGACGCTGCTCTGGCTTGGAGACACCCAGTACAATTCTGGGCAAGGAGGCAATTCAGTAAAACCTTCTTGAGAAATGAACTTCCTGTTTCACAGTCTCTCCTGAATTGAGCACTGACCCCATTGACCTCTTTATGGTTTAAGCCTGCCCCTTCCCCAGGCTGGAGGGAAGGTCTTTGGGACTCAATCCTGACCCTGTGCAGCATCTGACAGTGTACCTGGGCATAAACCCACAATTCTGCACAGTGTTTTTAATACTTTCTGCAGACCAAACTCCCTTCAGCTTTGCTCATCCATCCCTAGTGGTGTACCAGAGGTGTTTTTGTTTTCAGGAAGGCAGGTCGCTCTCTGCTTCATTTCCCCTCAAGGTGAATAGTATAGGTACCACTCTTTGAAAGCATCTGAAACTTAATCTGTGACAGGATTCCCACCATCAACCCCCTCAGGTGGCTCATATCTGTAGCTGAGAGATTGTCTGTTTCCTTATCATTCCAGTACAGCCCTGCCTTGGAAAACCAGCTTGCTCTGGGTGGAAACCATTTGCTTGTCCATCCACTTGAGAATGATTAACAGCCCTCTGTGGTTACTCCTGGGTTAGGGTTAATTCAAGAGGATGCAGGGAAACTTCAAAAACCCAGAGCTTGCAGACAGAGACCTAAATCACACAGAGCCCAGGCAGAAATCTTAAACTGCAGACAGCACCTCCAAACCTTCATCAGCCAAACCTGTAGTGGAAAGAGGGAAGGGGTGAGGAGCTTGTGTGCCTGCTCAGCCACCTGCTGAAGACCCTGCAAGCTGGAAGTTCCAGAGCCAGAGACACAGACAGTGAGGGCTCTTGTCTGCGGGGCAGACTAGAAGGAAATCCTTGGAGTTTCATTATTAGATATCATATTAGATGTCGTTAGGTTCCATGCATTTGTTTTCCTGTTCAACTAATATACATTATTTTTCTGGTGCTGAGAATCTCAGTGTAAGGATCTGACTGCCAGTGTTCCATCAAAAATGTAGCCCTTTCATTTTGTTTCAGCAATAGTTGGGCTCCCACTAAGCACAGTGTGCTCACTCCTCTGTCTGCAGATAGCTCCACACATGCTTGATCCTTTATTTAAAAGATGGATTTATCTGTGTATGTGTCTGTGTGTCTGTGTGTATGTGTGTATGAGAGAGTTGAAGAAAATGCCAGAACATCTTTATTATTCTTCTTTTCCTTTCTTGTCTTTTAGTGCTCTAAAAGGAAATCCAAAATAATTTACTTGTGCTTATTTCTCACCATTTCTTCATTGACAATATTGTAATTCTCATTAGACCCATGAATAGGAGGTTATATGATTCTATATTTTAATATAGACAGAGACTGGCAAATTAGTCTCTTTCAATTTTAGTTGGAAACATGAGCTGAACAGAGGGTTTCAGTTGTTTTTCTCTTAACAATCTGTTTTATTTTTTAAAACATCATCATATTTTTGTTACAGGGGGAAAAAAGTAAACACCAGTTTTCAGCTAAAAGGTGTGGATATCATTTGCGAAACTGAAAAGGGAAGCCAGTTCATTGAGCTCACCACCATGCATAGTGATTCATAAAGTGACCACTTAAAGACACCCTCAGTGTTTTGCTTTGGTAAATTTTCACATCAGCAGTCACATCATATATGAAAGTCATTTACAAGGCAGGAAACATTCCCCATGCATTGACTAAAATTCAGCACCTTTCACAAACATTGTAGGTTGTTTGAAGTTGTTCCAATTTCCATTATCTTGTATAGTCACAGCATTTAGAAACAGGAAAGACTGGAGTAAAATGCAAAGGAAGTTAAAATGTCAGAGGTCCCCAAAATAAAAGCAGAGCAAAACAAATACCAAACAAAAAATTCAGTACAAACCAGGTTTCATCTGGCATTTTTTGTAGCCAAAGCTTCTCTTATCAATGTGGGGGATTTTTGTTTTTATTTTTCAGTGAGCTGTAGACCAATCCTAATTCTGATAAAGCATATTGTGCATATGTGCCAGTGAAAGGTCCTGTGCATGTTAAATTTATTTCAGGCAGTTTCATCATTCCATTAGAGCAAAGACTGAATTTTTAAATTGTCAGAAAGATGCCAGTTTTGGGCGTTCTTAGGATAAGCCAATCTATTCAATTCGGACAAAACCCACCAGTACATAATAGTCTTTACAAGCTCATAAACCACCATACCACCCAAGATGTTAACAAGCTGGCATGTTTTGAGCATCAAAGATAGAGAGGAAACTGTGTTTACATGTTTGGCACAAAAACTAATGAGGAAAGTCAATTGGCCCTTTGTCTTGAGGGTCTGAAGAGCTGCACTCTAATGTTTGGTTTCTTGGTTGGCACTTGTTCAAGTAATCACTCGTGGCCTGACAAAGCAGCACTTGTGTTTTATTAGTGGCCATGCTGAACTCTCCTGCCTGGGCTGTGTTGTCTCTCAATAGAGCACTGCACCAGAGGGCACACTTATTTGAAAACACTAAATCAGAGCATGATGATCTTTGCCCGACAAATACAACCAAGAGAGCAGAAAAAAATGTTGACAACAGCTCTCCTTTTGTTAGAGAAAGTGAAGAAACAACAACTGGCGTGTGTGCATGTGCGTGCATGTAGGAACAGTCCCGAAACACCAGTGACAAAACCAGCAAAACTTTGTTCTCATGATGAGATGCTCAGAGCCAATTGCATTCACTCCTTGATTGAGAACAGGACATCAGCAAGGCTAAAATTCATGTTGTTCGCAGCTGGGAGAGCAGACATTGTTAATGTGTCAGGTTAGTCTGGCACAACCAACAAAGCTACAGGTTCAGAAAGTAGTATAGTGCAAAGAATTTGAAAGTCATTGTTTCATCTACTTAAAACAGGTAAAAGGCAAATCCTGGAGGGTCAGACTTCTTTACCTGATGAAACTCAAACCTTCAGCTTTCAAATACTTTAAAAAGCACAAATTTGTCAGCGAAATTAGGATGAGATTCATGACTTGGGAAATTCGACTTTCCTGGTGAAACTGTTGGTACTCATTGCCAGAAAGATGATGAGAAAAAACTTGCAAACTCTGACTCACAGCAGCAGTTCCACTGACTGTGAGATAATCGCACAGAGAAAAATTAGCTGTTCCACTTATGATGTCTGTATGTAGGAATTTTCACCAGTCTGGGGGTGGGGTAAAAAAAGCCCAGAGGGATACAAAAGTGAAAAACAATTACTAAACTGAAGATCCTTTATCTTGGGCTATTTTGTTTAAACTATTTTTGCATGTCACTTAGAATCTCCTATGTAGGATATATAGAACATATGCAAGTATTGCAACAAAGTTTTGCATGCCACCTCCACTTAGCTTCACTAATTTGACCACATCTTGACTTTTAATGCAGCTACCTATAGATATGTTAGATGTACGCTTAACAGTATCTAGTTTTGTAGCTCTAATCTCAGACATTTTCTAAAGTTATGAGGAGGTGACAAAAACAGCAGGTGGGTTCTGTTTAAAATACATTTTTAAAGAACAAGAAAAAATCTTACTAGTTTTTGTCTCAGTGATAATTGAGTCTGAAATGAAATAAATGTAATTAAAATCTTATATATGAGGAACTATTTTTGTTTATACATTTCAGCATTTGGAATGTAATTTTAAAATTTTCCTGTATTAATTCCATGATTATTTAAAATCATATTACAATTTAAATTATATAAGTTGGAAAAAAGATAAGTAAAATACTGAAAGAAGTTGTATCAGGTAAAAAAAAACAAAAAAAAAACAAAACAAAAAAAACCCGACCAACAAAACAAAACAAAACAAAACAAACAAACAAACAAACAAAGCCAAAATAAAATTAAAGCCAATCAAGAATGTGGTATCTGAGTTTTTGTCATGGTATAAAGATGCAATGGTTATCTGATGGATTAAAACTGCCCAGGTAGGCAAGAGGATCAAAATATCGCTCACTGCATCCTTTATAAAAAAAGTCTGACATCTCAAACAAACTGAATATTATACACATTACAACTGAACAGTCTCTAAACTTGTCCTGCCACCAAAATCATTAACTGATCTGTGACATCCTGTAACAGTTCTGGAATCATACCAGAAGGACAACAAATTGTGTTTGCAGTAACTGTGTTTCTGAAGAGTCTGTTTTTCTTAATTTTTATGTAAGATTTGGGGCACGCTTTTTGGCTTTCAAATAAACTTTAGTTAATAAATATCATTTCCAGCTCAAATTGATCATAAAATTGCAGCAGGCCATATGTGGCATATAATACTGTATTGCTTGTCTGATAAAACTCGAGTGCAGTGGGTACAGTAAAGCATTTCTGCATTCAGTTAGGTCTTGGCATCTCCTTATCTGTCCAGAGACTAAACTCTGTCTCAGGAGAATACCTCGTAGGTTTATTTCAGGGCACTGCAAAGGATATGCTACTTTGACACAAAATGTATATTGCTACTGTAGTCTTAAGGCTCCTTGGTACACTGCTCCAACACAATCCTCCAGGAGATAACTCACAATGAGTGCTTATTTGCACTTTTTAACCTGTCCCCTGCTGAATACTTAGAGGTTCAGGACTAAAATCCAGTTTTAGGAGGAACTAGTATCTGACCAGTGTAGATGCAAATAAAGAACTAAGTAAAATATACCCCTGTCTGTATATCCCCTTAAAATGCTGAAATGATAGAACTTTGGTATTTGACTCTGTTTTGGAGAACGAAATAGACATTATTTCTCTCTTCTATAGCAAAGTTTTTTCTGTCACACAGGTCAGGAATCAAGCAATCCCCTTAATAGTAGTGTGGGAACTGAATGAGTAAATGCAACATATAGCTAACACTGAACCTTTTGAAAAACAGTGTCTATTAATTCAGACCTGCCAATACTTAAGTTTACCTAGGGGATCAGCAGTTTCTATATTCTGGTTTTGTTTTCTCCTCTAAAATCTGCCATTTCTTTTAGTAACTACAACACATCTTTTTAAATATTTCACAAGGCTTTCCTTGTCCTAAGAGAAACAGCTTAGTACTCCCCATTGGTTTAGGGATTACTATTAACTGCTGCATTGTAGTGGGGTGAATTATACTTTAAACACAAATAAGACATGTAGCAGATAGAACAGCATAAAGAAATTTTCATTACTTCCTACAGATTTAGATCCAAGTGGTAATCAATTTCTTAAATTTCTACACTATTTGTCCCCACTATTTCTGTGTGTTGGATGATTTAAAATTTATTACAGTGATTTTTGATAACTATGTATTATGGATACTGTTCGCTGGTTTACAAAAGACTAATGCTTAGATGCATTTATTTTATAAATAGGAATTATACATTGATTATTGTTTCATTCTAACAATCGTAGTCAGAATTAAGTCATGCATGTAGGGGTTCTACTGGGAAAGCTGCAGATTGGAGCAATCAAAGAAGATAAGAAAAATTAAATACTTTAACCCCGGTGTTATCTATCCTCTATGAAAGAAACTTATTTCTTATTTCCCTACTGTTTAATTTTTTCCTAAATATTTCCAGGGAAAACACTGTGTTTCTATTTTTTCACTGAAAACCGAATTGCCTATTTTGAACTGACATATTTATAACCTGCTAACCTAGTATGAGCACTAACATATAGAAGTTATTTGCCTTGTGAATTAAACTTTTACAAAATATATATCTTTGAGAGCTAGTTTTTGTGGTGTTTGTTTAATATTGTTATAAGACCAATTCAGTAAAGGCAATATCCTCAGCACTTACACCTTTCTTGTTAGCATTTCTTGCTAGTACAAAACCTGAGTTTCTTACCTATAAATGAAGGAAAACAGAATCACCCCATTTCAAGATGAAGCTTGGAACTGAAAGTAGCACTTTACAATACAAGTTTATTTCCTGGAAGTTAAAGTTATGACACGCTAAAATGAGCAAAGAAGTGATATCACACTATCACAGTGTGACAGATACTATAAAGGACATGATTCTAAAGCATAGCCAGCAGAATTATGAAGAATAGGAAATATTTTTGGGACTAGCCATTTTTACCCTAAGCCTTCATGGAGCTGAAAGTCACAGAAATTTCAATGCTACAAAAGTAACTGTGAAAAATATTTTATCTGTGTGTTTACACCAATGGAAAGATAGATTCACTGTGACAATAGAATTATAACAATACAACTCTTTCCTTAGACTTTCTTTGTTAGAAATATCTCTGTGCAGAAGAACAGATAAAGTTATTACTGGTATGTTTCTTAATAACGAGTCTTCTGCAACATGGCCCTATCCACTATTATAAGTATGAATGCTTCTATGGATATATTTGTTCTTGGACACAGTTGGCAATGTGGTGACTGAATTAAATGAAAATAGGAGTAAAATATTGCTATATCATTTGAAAATCAATGACACTTACATGATACAACAGTACAAATCTCTGGACCTGACAAAATTAAGATATTGATGAAAATACCTTCAATATGAAACATTATCCAAGTTAATCAACTTCTACAATACACTGTTTAGTCTTTTATTTTTCAGCAATTTTCTATAAGACTTTGAAAAATCTCTTTACACTTCTGAAGTTACATGTTTTCAAAAGAGTAAAGTAGCAGAATGCTGCTTTTCATCTACCCTAACTCAGACAAAGCTCTCATTTTCTTCATTGAGAACTTGCCGTTAAACTAAATATCTAAACTAACATGCTGGTTTAGTAACTGTGTAGGCTACTAAATCCAAACACGGGTGCCTAACAACGACTTGATTGATTTCATACTGCAACTGTCCAGAAATTCTACTGATAAAATGGAAAACAAAAGTCTGAATCTGCAGATGTTTATGTTTCAAGATAATTTACAGCCCTAATTTCAAATGCTTCCATTGTTTTGAACAATTTTTGTGTGAAACTTTCCTTATCTTTTTTTATTAGCTAACCATTTTTATTGGTCCTTAGCTTTCAGCTTTGCAAGCTCAACACATACCCTTTACCTTGGCAAATTATTTTTCCAGTGGCCACATAATGAACTGTCCCATTTTTAATGCCAGGGTAGCAACACTAATTCATCCAAATAAATTACAGTTAACCATACACAACCGGTGGAGACATGGGAGACAGACTTACTGAAGTACATATTTAAAACAGTCTTTTTTATCTATATGGCACAGTCAATGTTTTTCAACTGAACCAAACTCAGAACATGGCTTATCTACTTTATTCTGCCTTTAATTTTGTAACAGAGTTTGTACTCGTGGCAAATGAGAGGTATGCATGCATTCAGAAAAATAGACATTTGCCAGAAAGACCTGGAAGAGTTGCTTCAGTTTCCTCCTTCTTGCAAAAGGTAATGGACTATAACCGATCTGTCCCTGAACAGATCTGGCAATGAGGTCTTGGAAATGATAGAGTGAAAACCCTCTGGCCAAGATGCTTTTGCAGAATTGCGAGGATGGGCACACGCTGACAGAGGCACTTTGCTTCCACCAGCAGCTGCTTGGCCTTCCTATTCCTTCATCTTAATCACCCTGCCCATAGAGCTCCTCTCAATGCAAATCCCGGTGCTATAGAGCACTATGACATGGGCAGCTGAGGTCTTTCTTCCTCGCCAAAAGAAAGAAGTCTGTTTGTGGAGGGTCCCCTCCACGCTTGGATGAATGGATAAGCATCGTCCCTGCATACATACTGCCCTTGCTGAATGAACATCATAATTTTCTTGGTCTAAGAAACTAGGTACCTGAAACCACAGCAGTTGGTTGGTCTGTCTGAATTAAGG